TAGCGCATGTGTGAAAATGACTCGGACCAATTATTAACCCCTAATTTACGTGCACATGAACCTGCTGTATCAGACAGAATAATGACCCAATCTGTATGTTTTTAACCCAAGAAGATTAAGAACATGAAGTTTAAAGCACAACGTCTACAACTGTTTGATTTAGAAGCTGAGAAACACAGTTATCTGACCCTTTGGGTGTTTTCAAAGTGGAACGAGTATCATTGCGGGAAAAGTTGAACTTGTCTATTGTTTTGGGTCAAGAAGACGCTGGAGATCCCACAGTGAGGTGGGAATATTTACCTTTTCGTGCCACTGCAGCAGGACCGCGCTGCTGTTCTCTGACGGCCTCTCGAAGCCTTTGTAGATGTATTTCATCAGCAGGTCCACGCCGTTTTTGTCGAGAGACTGCACGCCTTTCTCGATGTCACCGCTCTTGAAGGAGCTGAGCACCTTCAGCACCAGACCCTCCGCACGGTCCTGGCCAGGAGAGAGCAGACGGCTGAAGGCCAGAGTCGCTACACATTCCAGTCAGTTCGTATACCTGGCTGTGAAATCATCGACCACTGGACCTTGAGCTGCACACACCCTGAAAGGACCTCAGCTATAAGGTGCTGAAGATCTGCTTCTTCCTGCTGTATTGTTTAAGTTTGGAGAGCTTAAGAAGAACCAAATATCACTGCTATACTGCAAATCAAGAATCTGAAGTTTCTCAAAGTGATGCATTAAAATGTGCTGGCGCTTGAAGCTTTATTGACGAGGAAAACCGAGCTCACCTTGACGTTCTGGTTCTTTGTGTTGATTGGTGGGTTCTTCAGTACTGCGTGTAAAGCCTCCGTGAGATTTCCTGTGCAGGAAAGGTTAAGGAAGCAGCACAGCAAAGACTCAGCCTCCATCACAACAGATGCAAAGAAAATTATAAACTAGCCTTTGCCTTAGTCTCTCATAAAGAACAAGCTGCACAATCAGTGCAGTCCAATTTTAAAAGCACAAAGTCTTTCAGTTAAATCAGCTTTATGAGCAGGTCACTGCCTAAATAATACAAATACATTCATGCCCCGCAGCTCTGTTAATCATCAAAAATGTATTAAACACCTTCCACAGCTCCATTCCCCCCAAATAATTCTGTTTGCAGCATTGCTCAGTCTCCTGATTGGTGGTTTTCTACACTAAGCAGCCGTAAGTATGCTTCATAAAGACGCTCGACCTTATTGCAGTCCATGGTAGCAAAACTGCTCAGGCACAGGGGAAACAGCACTTGTACAAATAAGTGACTGAAGCCTGAGTGCTTCCACAGTGACGCTGTTCAGGTTCCAGTCATTTACTTGAATGTGGATATTGATCCCTACAGACACAGACGGGGAGATTTCTCGCGCCACTAAATAAAGAGCTACCGTACCGGCAAATCTCTGTCATACAGCGATTGCTCAAGATTGCTTGACTGTGTTTTGCTTTGATGTTTTGAGTTTTCTCTGTTGTAACACGCGCTGGGAGGAGTTGCTCAATGGGGAAGTGGAGCGCCTTCGAGCCCTATATGGCCTACAAAGCTCTTTTGACCCTCTGCGAGATGCCGGGTTCACCACACCCTAAAATGCACTTGCAGCATCAGGGAGAAAGCAGACCTGGGCAGGAGGGTGAACTCAGTAAAAGTGACGCACGCCCGCTTGTTCAATCTTGGAGCGCAATCCCTGGAATGTGACTGTCAGGCAAGTCGGGGCAGTGACTGGCCTGCTAGCTAAACGCCCATCCATGCAGCTAGCATCCCCGAAAGCTAAGTGAAGTGTGCGGATAGATCTGAACCTTACGGGCACGCTGCACAGGCCACCGCGGCACTTTCATTCAGCACGCCGTGTAGGCTAACGGGCGGGCTAGCTAATCTCGTAAAGGATATTGTCTGATGAGCGAGTCCACCTCTGCCTCGTCAGGACCCAGCTGATTTTCTCCTCCGTCCTCCTCGTCCACAAACTTGTTCTCGTCGTATTCGTCCACGTCCACTCGCCTGAAGCGGGCGGACACGGTATTCTTCGACATGTCTGCGGAGATTCGGGTGATTTATATTAAACCGAAAAGCAGAAGCGTTCGCGCGCAAATCCTTTTTAAAAAAATTATTTCTGCAGTGCTTTTTTTCTTATGTGGGCTGTCACTGGCAGACAGGCGACTTCCGGGCCTCCCCCTTCTTTCCTCCCTCGCCGATACTTTGACTTCCGCTGACTCAATGCCGCCCCGTGGCTGCAGTTTCTGTTCTCACCGCCAGAGGGAGCTCAAACCAAAGAAATAGTTCCGCGGTCAACAAAACTAAGCAGGCTATGTTGGTTAAGATTTTCAACTTTAGTATTTAATTAATTTGCATCACTTTTTGTCACAGTGTACTATGACATTGCAAAATAAAATGAAATTCTGCAGCTATTTATTTTATTTTGAGCAGTGGAATAGTCATAATTTCTAAGTCAGCAAAAAGAATTTTCTGGCACAACTTCACCTGCTTCCAAGGTGCATGGAGAGGATAAAAGAATTCACAAAGCAGGAACTCCAGCAACACTTGAGGGAAGATGAACAACTTTAATAATAGACCAACGCGTTTCGGCTTGTGGCCTTCATCGGGTCATAGTAAAACATTTTAAAATTGCTTAAATACAAGACAGGAAACAGAAAAAAATTTCAAATTAACCAATACCTACCTATTATATGTCAGCTGACCTATCTATGAAGTTTTGACTGATTAATTTGAAATTTGTTTCTGTTTCCTGTCTTGTATTTAAGCAATTTTAAAATGTTTTACTATGACCCTGATGAAGGCCACAAGCCGAAACGCGTTGGTCTATTATTAAAGTTGTTCATCTTCCCTCAAGTGTTGCTGGAGTTCCTGCTTTGTGAATAATTTCTAAGTCAGTAAGCTGCAAAGTCATCACTATCATCATTAAAATTCTACGTTTGGACTTGTAGGTTATTCCCAGACAGTTTGGACTAAACCAAACTCATTTTGATAGATGAAACACATTTGTCTGACAGCCAAAGATAAATACATCTGATATCAGGTGCTCTCTTTTTTTGAATAAAAGAATTGTAGTTCACAACCCCGGGGACAGTTGTAACCGTCCCTCGTTGCAGCTGTCCCCAGTCTCCCCTATAAACTTCTCCACAGTTTACCAGTGTTTACAGCCCTGATTTTATTTTGTTTATTTTTATTATTCTCTCTCTTTTTTAATCTTATCTCATATCTGAAAAAAATGATGATGAAGAAAGAAAGAAAGAAAGAAGTTGAACGTTCAAAAAAGTAGCATGTAAGCAAAACAAAGTGAACAAAAACAGGTGTACCTAAAAGGCCACTTCTTAGGTACACCTGTTCAGTGGTTATCACAAATATCTAATCAGTCATGGCAGCAACTCAGTGCATTTGGGCATGAAGACAGCTGGCATGTACCTGAAGTTTGAACTGAGCGTCAGAATGGTCATTTAAGTGACTCTGAATGTAGCACGGTTGTTGGTGCCAGACAGGCTGTATTTAAAAAACCCAAAACTGCTGACCTACTGGGATTTTTCTGCACAAACATCTGTAAGATTTACATGGTCAGAAAAACAGAAAAAAATCCAGTGATCAGCAATTATCTGACCTACGTTTCATCACAGGTCAGAGGAGACTGGTCAGAGTGCTTTGAGTTGACAGGAAGGCAAATAAAGTTTGTCTGGATACACAACATATCAAACCTTTAAGCAAATGGGCTTCAGCTGCAGGTAATCATAATCACAGTATTGCTATTTGTATGTTCCATTTAAGAAAAAGAGCATTAACAGTTGCATCAAGCGTGAATGTAATGTTTTGAAGATACGCATAAATGAACTAAAAACCTTCTTAAAAACACGATGTTACATCTTTATGCTAATGTGATACATTTGAATCAGTGAATCCATACATGAAAATTCTGGATTGCTGCAGAATTCAGATACCTGTGTCATTCACCTTTATGATTGCACAGGTTTATTCTGAATATTCTGCTACAACGCAGAAATGTGGGAGTCTGGTGAGCCCAGTACTGTGTGCGATGAATCAGAAGAATGGAGTCTGAAAGGATTTGTAATCAGGCCTGCGATCCATGGGGGCTTTCATACGTCATATGAATGTGCATTTTTTCAGTATAGGAAGTAAGACCAAATTTCCCATGTTACTAATCCCCACACTCGTCTCTGTTTGCATCACAGAAACAGTTAGAAATAAACCCAAACTGAAGTATCTAGTTTTCAAACTGCATGACGCCTTGGGGGTGGGGGAGTGTGGCTTTGTTGCCTTTTGAAAACCACATGAGCTCATATTAAATTTTGGCTTATCGTCCCGTGATGTTTCCAGGGATAATGGGCAGGCATTTTCACTGCGAACCAAAAGAACGTAGTTCATAACACGCAGATCTTTTCTGGGAAAGCAAGTAACTAGGGCACACCTATGTTTCATCAATGCCTTTTTTCCCTTTAGAAGTGGGATCTTTTTATTTCCTTATCTGGCCTGTCTAGACTGCCCCAAGAGTAAAAAAAAAAAAAAGATAAAGTATATCACTGCCTTTTTCCTTACATGCCAACCTACACAGTGGGAGTATTAGAAAACGGCGATGACTGCACCAAAAAAAGGAAAAGGTCAAACAATTGCAAAACATTGAACCCTGCCTCTCAGAGGCTCCTCACTCACACATTCGTCCATGAAAAACATACAGAGACGTTTTCTTTTGCTTCTCTTTCCCTGTGATTCTCCCACTCCCTCTTATTGCTGCACACATACACACAATCTGGCGTGCATTGGTCACAAGTGGCCTCATTGCAGGCTTTCTGCAGTGCCCCAACCTGTCCGTGCTAGGTTGCTATGTGAATGACTCAGCACACAGAGGGTAAATGGCCTGTACTTGTATAGCGCTTTACTTAGTCCCTAAGGACCCCAAAGCGCTTTACACTACATCCAGTCATCCACCCATTCACACACTGGTGATGGCAGCTACATTGTAGCCACAGCCGCCCCGGGGCGCACTGACAGAGGCGAGGGTGAGGATACAGCCTCACAGAGGGCATTTCTGTTCATCTGCCAATTAACAAACCTGTGAAAAAGTTCCACATGGAGTCCCTTTTGTGCTGTGCAGGCTCTAAGGAAGAGGTGAAACTTGAAACGTTCTCTGAAAAGATGCCGATACAGAGCTTTTAGACTCTGGGCAAATCTGTTGGGAATCTGGCCAGGTGCTTCCGTGCCAGAGGAAAGGACTAACAGAATAGCAAACTATCCTAAGCACTTAATTAGTACTCTCACACAAGGGGAATATTGCTTTTGGATGATGATTTAATTGGGGAATGTAATAATTTAGCGGGGGCTTTGTTGGAGCAGGTCTCCAAGTTTTAGAGGATCTGTGTGGTTTTCTTTATCATGCAGGTCAAAGGGAATCGTTTTGTCACGTTTTGTAACATCACTACTTTGACATTTATTGGTTAACATCATTCGATATTTGGTACGGGTCCTCAAATCACATTTTCAAATCAAAACAGTCCTCTCTGACTGAAAAACTGAGATTTAAAGGAAATCGCTGCATCGGTGTGTATTCCCCTCTTCCTGGAACCAAAAATTCCCATTGCATTAGGTAATTCTTTCACATAGACGATTTCTTTAGTAAAAGGAAGTCGTGAGCGATCAAGGAAGTCTGGGACTGGCCACTGGTCTATTTACCTCCACCGAAAATGATTAATCTCACATACTGTTAGGTAACTATAAACAAAGCAGACATGTAGAGATGTCATTGCATTTTATAAACTACAGTACTTACCAAGGAGTCAAAAATGGTTCTTACAGATAAATTATTACAAAAAACTGATTTAAAAAGTGGGACATTGTTTTCTGTGATGTAAGAGACTACGTAAGCATCTGCAGTTTTTAAAATTCACGAGCCTTTTTTGTACCTTTTTTTTTTATTTCAGATGTGTAATCTCCAAGCCCAAATCAAGACAATCCTATCTGATTTGGGCTTGTAGAAATAACACAGATTGTATTATCTGTTCTCAGAAGTTAGAACGCTGGCTCCAGTTTTTCAAAGGGTGTGTGAGCACTAACTGATCTTTATCCATCCATTTGTTTTCTGTCACTTATGTGAGTTCGGGTATGGGGCAGCAGTCTGAGCAGAGGAGACCAGACTTCCCTCACCCCGGAAACCTCTTGCAGCTTGTCTGAAGGAGAAACCAAGTTGTTCCCAAGCCAGCTGAGACATGGAACCTCTCAGGATGCATCCCAATCAGCATTTGACATCAGTAACTGCTCATGCCAATTGCAGCGGTTCTACTAGGAATCCGTCTCTAATGACCAAGCTCTCCCAATCTCTAATGGACAGCCCAGTCATTAGGAAACTCACTAATCAGAGCTCTTGACCACAGGTGAAGATAGGAATGCAGATTGACGATAAATCAACAGCTTCACTTTTACACTCAGCCAAACCATTGCAGTCGTCGCTTCTGGATAAGCTCTTCCATCGAGGCCTGCTGATTACACTGACCACGTTTCGCGCTGTTGCCGAGATGGTCACGAAGGGACACTGGGAAAATCTGATGCAAACAGTGCATTTGGAAGACCTCGAGCTTGTTGAGGTCATGTTTGAGGATGACCCGGGTCAAAGATCCATAGAGAAGAATGGGCAATACTAGTATGTGGGACAGGTGGATTTTGATGATGAGGGTGACGTTTGTCTTCTTCCAGATGCACCAATGGAGGTAGGCCTGACAGCTGTTGAATCCACTTTCTTTTCCTGCACCAGAGAGCCAAGGTATTTGAATTGTTAGATTTACATGCCTTCAAGATACACGGTGGCTGGCGATCCACCAGTAGTAAGGACTTCTGTCTTCTCAGCACTGATCTTGAGGCCATATGGTTGAGCATGTTGGGCAACGTCACATAGGATGTCTGTAGCCTTGTCATGCGTGAACATCAAGTCAGTTGAAGATTGGTCATCGGCGAACTCGATTCCACGGCGGCGGCCGTTGAAGGTCCTGCGCATAATTGCATCGATCATGAGGTTGAAGAACCGACTGGATGGGCGAACCCACACACACTATCAAATATCCTTTAGAGGACAAAGAGCAGGTCCACTGTTCCACGACCAGGACAAAAACCACAATGTTGGTCCTACATCCAAAGTCTGGCTAGTGGATGGACAATGAACTGGCATGGTGCAATCGCCCAATAGTTGAAGCACACCCTCCAGTTACTTCTTTATATGGAAAATAATACAAATGCATTCCTTTTGGTTTGTTTAACATGTCACAGTTAAAATGCTCTATACTGCTGAAAACGGTCTGTTTCGTTAGGATTTGGGGTTTCTTGTGATGCCAGTCAATACAAGCTGATTTTTCAGGTATCAATATGGTGGTATAATAGCTACACATTTTCATTACACTCTTTGTATATGACCACTTTCAGAGGAGCGCAGCCCGTTCTCATTCCCGAGGCGTAATATACTGACGATTTGTCAAGTCCTCTGGCGTTCCCGAGGAACACAAAAGGTGACCGTCCCCATTCTTATGCTCCGCGCCGGGTTATGGATGAAATCCAGTAGAATGATGCTCCTGCGGTAACACAGATTCCAGCCATGTATTCCAGCCCTAACCCTCACCTCAACCAGCACTTTAATGACGTTACATAGTGTTTTCCAAGCGATTTAAGGAAAATGAATGTACATGTATAGATTCATTTCAAACGGTTGTCATGTTTCCTCATTTTTTCAATCTCGTAATCTAGTGACGTGTTGGGTGCCCGGAAGCGTAATATATCGATGCTTTGGGGGTGAAAACACGTTGTATCCGAAGCTGAAGTTAATGACGCTGTGTGGGATCATGTTGACAGAGGAAAAAAGACAGCCAACATCCAAAGAAGAGCTCTGAACATCCTTCAAATATTCCTGAAGACTACTCAAAGAAATGACAAGTCATCTACCTCAGAGAATTCCGTCTGTGTTGAAGAATAAGGCGGTCATATCAAATACTGTATTTCAATTTAATAAACTGCTGAACCCATTTTCAATTTGCCTCCGACATCCACACACATTAATACTCTGACGCAGTTCTTTTTAAATACAAGCCAAACTAAAGCAGGTCATGGTTGAACCTGAACCTTGAACTTTGACCTCAGCTGCTGTGTTTTTTCAGGAGGGGGCTCACGGATGAGGAAAGAGTCTCAACTATTTAAACAGAAAAGATTACACATGAGATAAATTCTCTTTTATTAATCTCATTTAACAATGCACATAAACATTATGTATGTTATGTTTTGCCAGTCATAATACAGAAATGTTTTATACACTACAGCTGACCATTTAGGATCTTGTAACATGTAAACATGGTCATAGGTGGCCGAATATATATAGTAAAATATGAGAGGGGGGGAAGAAATAATCAAAGTTAAAGTAAAACAATATGTAAAATATGAAAAGGTTAATGGCAGAACTCGACAGGATGTCTTCATAAGATAGTCGATGCTATTTTAACATTTATGGGGAAACACAATCACTCACTTTCTTAAAAGTAGCCCTGATACAATGACACCGCATTCACCCTATGGTTATAGCCAGCAGCAGGTTAGCTTCGCTTAAATTAATTTGACATTAATCTGCAAAAAAACCCCAAACCTCTAAACAAGTTTTATGTAAGGCTTTCGAACAAACAACTCTTATCTTGTGGCTCACTCTCACAGCTCACTTTGCAATCATCTCTGCTCTTACCAAGTAGCTCTTTTTTAGCAACAACAACAAGAGATAAGCACCCATTAAAAACAGGAACAGCAGAGTGATAAGCGCCAAGAGGAACATGCTTTTTAACACACGCAGAGAACATTTAGCAGCCAGAAATGTCTCCCAGGAGTTGGTAGAGACACAACAATGATGGTGGTAGTATCCACAGTCCCCTGGCTCAGCAGTTCAGTAGTTATTTCTGGACTACTGAATAAATGAAATGATGTAAATGAGTTAGACCAAACCCACTTTTAGAAGTTGGCCTTCATTTTCATTCAAGTGTTGGGACTAAATCATAGCTGTGAAGGTAACACAATGACAAAGTGTCCACAGACAGACACACACTTTGCAATAGTTTCTCCTACAGTAGGGATCACCAGAACCAGATTTAGCCTTGATGTGACGCACTGCCAGGTCAATGGACTCTGTGCTGAGGCAAGAAAAGCCGTCCAGCGATTACTAAAAGCTCAACAGTTAAGTAACTTTTTAGCCCATTTTCTGTCTTTGTGCTGTGTTGTACCTGACTGCTAATTATTCACTTATAAGCCTTTACAGTACATAAATATAATGCTGTCAATCTTCTCATCTGATTCAACAAGAGAAAGTAAAAAACTGCTGCTATCCAAAACCATTTTTTCTAAAAGAACAACAGAAATGAGGAAATGCTTACAGCTATTAAAAAAATGCAACTACACAAACAAACAGGAAAAAAACACCTGATAGAAATCAGCTAAAAATAAAAAAAGCATGTTGCAAAAGTTTCGTGGTTTCATCTTGCAGCAAAACTGCAAACGACTCTGTTTTGTTTTCTCGGTTTCTTTCCAACAACCTCGGCTGAAACGTAAGAGCGTGAGGGCCGGAAGTGTCCGGTGTAAAATTCCCCTGCTCCGCGTGCAGCCTCTGGGCCCCTGCAGGTGTAGGTGTAGTGTGTCTGATTTCAGGCCTCCACTGCTGCAGGTGTAGGTGTAGTGTGTAAAATTCCACTGTGTGCTGCCACTAGGGAACACCTTTCAGCTGTGGGCAGGTCTCGTGATCGCGCCCTCACTTTGACCTAAGCTGCAGCTCACTGTTGAAAAGATCCGGCAGCAAGCTGGGTTTGTTGGGAGGCAGGGGGACAAACACTGTGTTTAAAAAGAAAAAGCACCCTGAAACCATGGAGTCAGGACACAGAACCGGATGAGAGAAGGAGCAGGGCCGTTTCCATGGCATCCAGTTTTGTTTTTCCAAAGTGGCTTTAATATGAGGCACTCCCTAGAGGGGAGCAGGGAGTGCTCCTACGCTGTAGGTGGGTAAACATCACTGGGATGTTTGAGGTATCCAGAGGGGGGTGCACTTGGAGTGTTTAGAAGTTGCCATCAAACAAAACCAATGGTTACCGATAATATCCCCATCCATGTTTTCAAACAAGCTTGCATGTTTAGACAAGCCATCCGGTAATAAAAAAAAAAGAGGTGATTTGCATGCTCTGTTGTCACACGTTCAGTGTGGAAAGAGCTCAGCTCACAAAAAGACGCAGTGCAGGAACGGCTTCCTGCGGTGTGTCCGTTCACACAGCTCAGTGTTTAGAAACGTCCACACACAGCTCTGAGATCCAAATGCAGTCTCCTCACCGACATTTGGGAATGTTGCAAGAAAATGTAAGTGAAGTGAAGTGAATGAGCATGTGAGTTTAAAACAGACACAATAAACAAAATTGTAGTTTGGGTTGCTCAGTGGATATGGAACCAATTCACTCACATTGCACTGTTTGGTTCATTTTCTAGTCTGTCTCTCACAGCCTGCAGGGAAAGCACCTATCAGCTGTTTGTGGCCAGCAGTCACTATAGTGCACGTAAGCCCAGGTGAAAGCTGTATATGAATGAAATAATATCATATCATGTAACATCCAGCTTCCTTGCAGTAGCCCTTTATCAGAAACCATATCAAACCCAGAGCAAAACAAAAGCATCTCTATTACACAAAGAAAAGATCAGCATGAGAGCATTTTCCAAAAAGAAAATGCTTCGTTCTAAGGTGAAAACATAATCCCCCAAAAGCCCTGAAGTCTTAGACCGAAGCTACTGGCTATTATTCCCAAGGTGATTCACAGGCTTTCCTTGATGATCTCGTTTGAGAATCTTCTTTTTTGGGATCTCACTGAGGGCGAAAGGACGAGAGACGCTCGAGGGATTGTCCTTACGAGACGCGATGCAGTCCTTGATGGCTTCTTTAATAACCTGCAGGGAGGGGGACAAAGTCCATATTGTAATCTCATATGGAACAAATGCTGCTACATTAAATTCAAAGAGCGATATTTAAAAAAGGTTAAAAAGCCAAATAGCTGAGGGAGTAATGTCTGATGAGCCAGTAAGGAGTACAAAATATAGTAGAGTAAAAGCAGCATGACATGGAAATACTTGAAAGATGTAAAAGTACATTAAAATTCAGCAAAGTTCTATAGCGGTGGGGGAATCATATTTTGGGGGGCTGGTGCCACCCCATGCCCACCTGGATACGCCCCTGACAAGTGTAGAGTTAGTATTTAACCCAATTATTTGGGAAACATCATCATTTAGTAATTAGTTAATATTTGTCAATTAATAAATGATCCAAAGTTAGTGGATTACATAGGCTTAGGTTTATTACCGATTTATGTTCACTAATCATTTCATCCCCCCAACTGTGTAAACCTGTATGAGGTTCTCACTACACATCCCCAGAGCTCAGCTGGTGACACTTTAACGATGTAAAAATGAGTAAGTCCAGGAAATTTCTGTCTTGCACTTTCATATGAATCAGTGTCGGTGGGCAGATTTGTTTTATATTAACCATGAATGTCAGAGGTTTTATCAGTACGTTTCCAAATATTAGCACTGCTGGCTGACTGGGCTCAAAATGCTGGAGCCTAGCATCGGAAAATATCTTGAGTGGCAGCATAAGTCTGTCTGCATCACCTGACCACCCAGTGCAATCAAAGAGGCTGAACCCTTACTCAACATAGTTACTCAGAAGTTAGCAAGTGAAAGTCAGCCTGACGTCACATAAATGACACACCTTTAGAGAATTAGTTTAGGCCTGTACTATCCGTTTTTGACTGTGACGAAATTTCTAATGTTGCACAATCAAAATGCGAGTAGACTCAATCCAAAATTTCCCCTCTGACAACACTAAGAATGAACAGCTGAGGAAATGAATGAACAGCAGTTGGCCAATAACAAACCTGTTCACGAATCACTTAATCTACCGATGCCTGTAAGCCTTATGAAAACATCCACAGTGATAGGCTCAACAGGTAACACTGTGCTACACCAGTTTTGCAGCAGCGCTAAACTGACCTCCAGGTTGTTGAGAGTGTTGAACTCCATCAGGTCATGAAGCTGGATGAAAGCTTCGTTGGAGTATTGGAAGTTGAAGGTGGAGTACGGTGTCTCGGTGTCGTCAAAAATGTCAAAATCGGCCAGCTCCTTCTCCTTCTCAGTCTCCCTGGGAACGCCTGATATTTAACAACAACAAGAGTTGGGGCACTTTTCAGTTCAACCATGTATGTAATACTGTTCATTGCTGAACTGATACCGGATGTAATAGTTATGGTATACTGCGATTCTTCTCCGTTTGAGTGCAAAACCATAAACAGACTCTGTTTATCTGAATGGATGACCTATTTAATGTAAAGGACGTGCAGTGGAGATGAGGTAATAGTGTTTGTTTGCATGGCTTCTGATATATGACCTGTTTATACATATGGTCCGCCTACTGAGGCGAGAGATTTCCTTCTAGCACCTGACTCCCCCAGGAACCATATTTCACTTGGGTCATAAAAAAGACGGAATTCGTAGTTTACTGTAAGCACACACATACTCAAAGGGAGGATGGGAAGATGGTTTCTATTGGGGTCACTCAGAGGAGGTGCCTAACATCTGGCTGCTGACTGAATATGGTCAATTTCCCCCAGTCCAGCTTTGACGAAGAGATGCCTCATGTGCCACAACAGTGAAATTTTACCCCCACATAACCTCCACATACAGTCATACTTACCAGGCGCTTTGAATTTCCTGAAGTTGATGTTGACGAGGACAAAGTGGATGACCGTCGGGCAGTTCTTTTCACCGCTCTTTGGTTTGAAGACGTAGCATTCCTTCAGACCTTCACGGTCAAAGACTTTGGGGTCGATCTTGGGGAATGGCAGCTTGTTCATTCTAGCCCATTTCTCAGCGAGGAGAAGCTCCTGTGAGATGCAAATCCTGTTAGACTTGCTGTTTACATGAATCATTTATGACCACAAAAAGTCCCGTTTTACCTTGAACGGAGGGCTTGAGTCACTCGGTCGAGCTGAAAAGTCAAAGGAGATGATGAGGTCGACGCCGCGCTGCGAGCGCAGGATAAGGGGGTAGGGAAGGTTGTAGGTCAGGCCGCTGTCCACTACGTGGATCTTCTTGCTCTTCACATCCAGAGGCTCGTAGATTCGATCGAACTCATCGGGATCTGAGCAATGAAAAATTTTATTCTTCCTGACTCACCGAGCAAATTGTTTCGTTTGGTACTTGTCCTTTACTGGAAGTAGGACCGCATATTTTTTTTCATACATTTACAAATACAAATATTATTTGAATTAAACAACTTAAAGAGATCGTGTAAGCCACGACTTCCCTCAGCTGTGAACTGTGAAGCTTTCATTAAATTTATTTCTATAGACAGAGATGTGTGATATTTTCAGCAACCAAAGATATTTGTGCAGTTTTCCAAAAGTCGTGATGGAGATTGGGTGAAGTTGAGTCAGCAGAGAAAGTATACTAAGGTTATGTTTGATTACAGCCCTCACTGCATTAACATACACATTTATTAAACTGTGATCAATGTATTATTCTTGCCTGTGACAGCATCCACCTCCTCTTCAGGTGTCATAGCGTGTGTTATCTCAAGTAATGGAGAGAATGGCATGTTGGTGTTCAGGTTCAGGCCCAACATGAAGTTATGCACCTGGAAAATGATGACAAGGGGGGATTAGGACAGCGAGCGATGCAAGCCTGTTGTAAATACTAACGCAGGAAGACTCGACTCACGCATACGTGTATGCATAATGCATTGAATATATTCGTGTACCTTTCCAGCACGACCCTCCCTTGTGTTGAACAAAGCAGAGTCGCCCAAGACTGACGTGAACATACGCTGAACCCAGCTGGCCTGAGCGGTGCGATGAAACTCCTCCTCTGCCTCCTGGTTTTCTGTCCCACCTAAAAACCAAAGTAACCCCAGGTGGAATATGCAAAGGTGGTTAATCTAATGCATCATGTCCACAAAAGTAATTAAAAACAGATACATTTCAACAAAATACATGATTTTGCATTGTTGCATAAATGTGCTAAAACTGTGTTAACATGTTGCACGAAAAGTACAAAAACATTTTTTATGGGTATTGATTCATTCCAAATCTGGAATTGTTTTAAATGTTCTTGTACGCACGACATCAATTGAAATTTATTGATGCAGTGCCAATCAAGGTGCTTTTCACTGTAATGTAAAGACCCTACAATTTTAGAGAGAACACCAACAATCAGTACTGTCCGCTTGGCGACAGTGGGAAGGAAGAACTCCATTTTACAGAAGCTCCTCCCTGAGCTTGGTTCTGACGTGCTCAGAGAGGGGCAGCGGGAAAGATTTCAGACCTGTTTTTCTTTTGTTTTGCACTTTTGTATTGTTAAACCCAAGACTGACAGCATGACAAGCATTCTTTCCACCATTCAAAAGAAAATGAAACCCAGTAGAAAAATACGTCATTAATGTGTCAGAGCAGCAAATATTCAATAAGCTGAAATATGTAAAGGAATATGGACACTTAAGATGCTTGTAGGCAATTTAAAAAAAACTATCACAACATCTTTCTTATCTAGTTTTATTTCATCTTCAGTGTCACTTGAAACAAACACTGTTGTTGGTTTTGTTTGTACCCTTATAATCCACCCACCCATTCTCTCTCCACCTCTTCCTCTTTGTCTATATATAGCTGTTTCTAAAAATTCACTCAGGGCGTAGTGCAAACACTTCTTCAAGAAGGAAGAAAAGGCAATTACGTGAATATTTACATAAATGTTTGGCTTCAATCATCAAAGTCAGACCCTGAATAAAAACAAAATAAATAAAAACAATGCAAACTCTGGCTGTTGGATAGCGGCAGAAAAGCACGCCGATCAGCACTTTATCGCGATCTGACCTCGGCAGCTGTTCCCATGCAGTTGCAAAACACCGACGAAATTTGCACCATTACCACAAACTTTCACAACGTCTCAAGGGGTTCAACTTTTGCTCAAACATTTCAATGTGTCAACCAGTGTGCTGAACCTAATTTTTTCTCCATCAAAAGGAACGCCGAGTTCACCTTTGCGTGGCTCGTCGTCGTCCAGGGTGTCTTCTCCAACGATGTGCTGTGGTTTGATCTGCTCTGTAGGACACGAGGCAACATTTGTTAATTTGATTAATATACACGGCAAAACTGCATCTAAACTTTTGTTTAATCATGCAACTTTACAGAACTTAAGTCAAACAAAGAAAGATCTGACACAAGCGAGCACCTGTTACTAATGCATTCTTTAGTAAGGTGGAGACGCTTTTGCACAACCAACACATTGTGAGAGTGCGTCTCAATGTAAAAGGTCACCCTAACATGTGCAATCAAGAAAATCGAGTCATCTCACCAGGCAAAAGAACCTGATGCCTTTCCGCTGTTGCGTTAACATTACATAAACACTCAAAGAGTCCCATGATAAATAGTGAGAAAAAAATGAGGTTGGGAATACCTGCTAGGTGCGAGAAAATAATTCTAAACAAAACAAATTCAAGTGTGACACATGACTGTGACATGACTCAGACATGACTGAACGCCTGTGTCAGTGGGAGACTGCGCTGTGGAAGTTATTTCAGCGGCCGGCGGAGCTCACGGGCGCGTCACTGCAACCCCCCCTGGCTTCTGCTCCGCGGCTGCTGAGTGAGCCCTCATCTGGGACTCTCCTCAGCTCTTACTGGGACAGTGGCGCGGCTGCCCCTCTGTTGGTCTTCCTTGGTCTCTTGTGTTCTGGGGGCCTCTGGATGTCTGGAGTTTTGATCTCCTCCATACCTGCTTCATACCCTGGAGGACGGGGCTGTGGCCCCCCCACACTCCCTAGCAGATCGTTACATGGAGAAACCTTTGGAATACAAGCGCGCTGATCCACACAGGTATGCACACGGGTGTTCACTGCTCGTAGACCCAAATTACACCTTTCTTGGCTGCTACTTCGAAGCACATCTGTCCTGCGTGCTGCACAACAACATTGAATATTTAGTATTTACTGCTGTTTACACTTAGCTAGATTAATGCGATGGTGTTGTGTTTAGTATGTTGCTTTGTTTTTGTTTTTTTGTCTTTTTTTGCTTGTTTTCTATTCTTCTCTCAACAGGTGATCCAGGAGATTTTTATTTTTTTTCTCCCCCCCTTTCTCACTGTCCCTCTCCCCTTCTGTTTTTCCTTTCCTTCCTCTTTCTTTCTCCCTTTCCTATCTCTCACTCATGTCTGTCCCGTCTGTAACATCTGAAAATAAAATATAATAAATAATAAAAACAAAGATCGACCAAATGGACCAATACGGCAATGCCACGATGATCCATTTGGCAAAGTAAATCCATTGGGTATCCTTGTTGGTCTTCAGACAACAATTCTGATGGCTAAAGAACCAAATGGGACAGGCAGAAAAAAAAAAAAAAAAAAAAAAAAAAAGGGGTTATTTCAGCAGCAGATGCTCATACCAAAACAAAGAGATTATCTAAAAAATGAAAACATAAACTAATGCAAAGTAGCCAGCTAACCATGACTAAAAGCACCAATTTCAGATTACGTTCAGTAAATCTGTATAAAATAAGTAGCGTGTTTTCCTCACTTTTAGGCTCACTTAAAATCCTTTAATTTTCTCAAAAATCGACAGTGCTTATAATCCGCTACAAAGCTGCAACACTTGACGGATTGTCGGAGCATTACGGCTGCCGTAGTCAGGAGCCTCAAGGTGTAATCTGGGTCCTAAACTCTGCTTCAGGTCCCAAAGTCAAACGAACACTGCGGCATCACTGAGAGTTAAAAACTGTCTAAATTCTTTCATCTTTAATAAAATGATCAGCGTTGCTGCTTTACCAGGTGTAACAATTAAGTTTAACATCCAGGCATCCATGAAAACAGAATTTATTACATTTAACAGAGTTAGAAGTTAGCAGGAAGTTAGCTCGCTAGCTTCCACCTAAACATGATATAGCATGTTCTGACTGAGAGATTTCTGAAAAATTCAAACGTACAGCTCTGCTGATCACTTCCAACATAAATGAAGACAGAAAACTAAACAGCAGTGACGTTTGTAGGGTTACTGAAGTTGGGCTAGCTGGTATATAATGATGTGCTACGTGATCGCTAGCGACACAGCTATGTTAGCATAGCATAAACACAGTGAAGCTGGAGGATGAACGCTAACTTTTTTCCACTCGATAAAAGTTAACTGAGGGTTCCTGATGGTTAGGGACAAATGCAATCGCATGGCAGGATGCTGTAAACGGACCAAACTTCAGTCAGGAGAACAACTGAGATAATCCATCCACAATACGAGGTTAGTCATTAATATACTGCAACAACATGGGAATAGAGCAGCTGCAGAGAATTCAACATTAATGAATCAATGGTACGGAAGTGGAGGAAGCAAGAAGAATGAGCTGAGTAAAGTTTGACTTATCTGACTGTTTTGTTTTGATTAATGCGCCTTCTGGTCCGAAAAATACGGTACTGTCACATATACTGTGTGGACGATTTGTATTTCATTTCTACATGGAAGCTTATGCTTTTAAAATAAGAAATAACATTTCGATTCTTATCGTTTCTCGAGTACTCCAATTTTTACTTCTTTTATAATACTTGATTTAAAATAAGTGCTTGGAATGTGCACATCTACAATTAAAATTCTGTCTGCTGACTAAACCCATTTATCTGACGCCCTCTGATCGGCAGATGAATCTGCCTTGCGGCAAAATTATCGGGTCACTTTCTGGGTTATTTAGCACTTGTATTGTTCAGTCCAAACAAACAGAATGAAAAATATTACCTAACTCCTCCTCCATGGTGCTGCCACCAGCTCTGTCCTTGACCCCTAGCACTCTGTTGAACAGAATTGAGAAGGCACTTCCCCACACACCTAAAAAAAACATAAAAAACATGTCAGGTTTGAATCTTGTATCTATTGTATCTACTTGTACCTGTTGCTCCTGAACGCCTCAGATCAGAAAACCTCTGAAATGTCTGCTTTTATAGATGTGCTCACATTCGTTGACCCTTTTATTTCCTCGGGAAGCAATAAGGGAAGCTTGTAAGTCCTGTGGAAAACCTTTCTTTTTTGTATGACTGCAGATGAAAACATGTTTCTCACCCATCAGAAAATGAAGAGGGTTTTCCTCGTACTTCTTCACAACAGTTCCCATGAAGAACTTGCTTCCAAATAGGTCAGGGGTCATGAAGGTGCCATACTTTGCCATCCCAATTTCATACGGGCTAAACTCCACCCAGTCTGCAGGTTGAAATCCCAGTGTTATGGTCACAATAAGGAACACACAATAGTAATACTGCATTGCATAATTGCATTGTGCACTCTGACACAGGCTACATTGTTGGATAAAAATGTCATGCATGGAAATAAACCTTACATATACTTGACAATGCCTTGCTTACAATTAACAGAACCAGCTGCCAAACAATTAATACTGTCCCTGCGTCACGCTGCCAACACATCCGATGGGAATTTGACACAGTTTACACAGTTTGCTGCCCTTTAAGAGATGGCCATCTTTAAGTCACCGCTCAGGGATAACACTTCCCAACGTCAACAGGAAAAAAACATGTTCGCTTTGCATGTCTGCACATGTCAAAGTCGCACGCTCGCCCACACACCATCTCTCTCACAAAAAGACGTCGTCAAAGATTAACACACAGTTCTCATTTTGAGCTACTGGTCATCAACAGTAGGCACAACTTCCCTTTCCTGTCAAAACACTCTCAGTTTATTATATCACTGACTTCACATTATATTGGAACATTCCTGTCAGAATCTGGTCCATGTTGGTGAGACTGCAAGAGATGATTTCCAAGGTTTTACAGAAATGATGCCACCGTTCTCCTTTTCTACTCAAAGATGCCTGAACATGGGTACGTTCTGGCCGTAAAGGGATGTGCACGGATGAATACTCCAAGAGTTTCTTGAGAATGTCTGTGGAGTGATTCTCGGTATTACAATAATCTTTCTCTGAGCTTGAACCTGTCTGGGCATTCTGCTCTGAACTCGCTCATCAACAGGATGCTTCTATCTGCATTTACTGGATGGGTGTTGTTTTCCTATTGCTTTTTGGAGCCAAAACCAAAACTAATTTTGTGCCCCGGGGCCCACAAACCCCGCTTTGAAACAGACTCGGGAGAGGAGAGACTCTTCGTGGCGTGTTTATACACCAACCTGATGTAACATGTCGTTATGACATATTGGTAACTGCTTTTACAGACACGTATTCGCCCATAAATAGCCACTGAAGGGAACACAGACATACAAATGGACGCATACTCTCACGGTGACACTACTCAGACCTCGGAAACCTCAACAATCGCAGCTTATTTCACATCTCGCTTCAGTTGGCAGCCAGGAATTTTCTACTGAAATTGTCATTGGAGATTTTAGATGAGCAGATAAAAGAGAAAAACAAGTTTTATCTTACTTTCAATCTTACTTTTAAAGATCTGATAAACGACTGATGATGGAAAACACGTAAATCTAGACTGGCAGCAGGTTTGGCCTTGCCCTTATGCGTATCAAAGTGCCACTGAACAATATATTCATTTTTTTATAAACCTGCTGTAACAAACGACGTGGATGTAGTCGGTTTCCTACACACTCACACTGAGATGCCGTGAAGAAGGCTGTCTGTGTATGTCATTGTTTCCTGCCTGCGTGGACCGCTGAATGTATTTATTGTTAAAATAGCTGAAAGGCAGTTTGTAATCCAAAACTCAGCCGCCCACGACAATTTAGATTTGTGAACAGAAGCACAAACATTTCCTCGATAAACAGTTTGACGGCGTGATGGAATTCGGTGAACGCGGATAGGAAGAGTTTGTTCTTGCTAAGCATCAGAAAAGTCTAAACTTGAAAGCGAAACATGATCAGAATGTTTATTTTCACAGTTTTATTTAGAAGAATTTCAGTGTTTCAGGAAGTTTTCTGTAATACTAGTAGAGAGTGTATATTCAGAGATGAGTCCAAGATTGCGTGGGAGCTATATTAGAATTTAGGAAGTACTGTACAACATTTTGTACAGTACAAACTCCCACGTCACTGACCACAGGGCTTTCATTAGATGACAGCCAACCACATCTTGCCACATGTTCTTTATGGTAGCAGACAGGGATTATATGGAAATGTACCGCTCACTTATTTTGCATGTGGCTTCAGTCATCGTATCATGTACTCATGATATATGGATATGCAAAATATTGTTTTGAAGGATTTAGGATACATAATGTAACGTATGACACCTGCAGGTGTCAAACAGAAGAGACATATTTACCTGCAAACATGAGCTCAGAAACATCCGGTTTGACATGCAGACATGTGAAAAGAGGAAGCGGACACTGGGCTTGGTTTATTTTCTCCTGGATGTCGCTTAGCTTGATGCCCATTCTCTTGTAGGAGAGAACACTCAGTGTTAATCATGTGAACACCAAGTTTTACACGTCAGTCATAAGATTCAGATTTCTATCTCAATATGACTGCACAGTTATGTGACACTAAAAGAAGAACGATAAACTCGGATGGCAGTTCGAAGAAAAGAGAAGAAGTGGCAGATGGATTTAAAGGGAAGGAACTGACTAACTTACTGGTAAAAAAAAAATCAGACATGGGAATATGGAGTGTTGTCAGCATTAAAACAAAGAGCACATACGAGGTTCTTACCGAGGGTATAAGTGTCTCTCCTATGAGCATACCAAAGATATCTGCAAAAGTAACCGGCTGTCCTGAGGCCTTTTTGGTCCACAGGGCCTGGATATAGTGGGTGATGTGCTGGGGCATCAACAGCCTAAGTGGGTTACTGCTAACTCTCTTCATCAACTCACTGTTGATGTCCTTCGGGCCCTTATTTGGAAAGTCAGGGTTGGAGTAGAGAGTTGACATGTACCTGCAGGAGTAAAGAGGGAGGAAGTTAACACAGATGCCATGTCAGTTAATACATGTTTTAACAATATACCTCTTTATGAGGTTTATGCAGGTACTTTACTTGTAAGGAAGTTAAATCCACTAAGTCGTGGAGACAGAAATAAGCCAGAGGTGCCTGCTTGAAGACTTCATACCAGCAGGGGAAGGGTGGAAAGTTTGCCAGAGCAGGGAGGAGCAACACCGAGGAAGAATTAGGAAATAAAACGAGAGAGAAACGTAGCAGTGGCAAAAAATGTGTAAAAATGAAAAGGTGTCTTTAGAAATAGGTCAGACAGAGGCAGGGTGCAAAGGAAACAAAGAGGAGGTGAAATAAAAACAGACCATGTGGATCCAGAGAGGCCAGCAATATATGTGGTACAGTCGAGGACCCCGGACTCAAACAGGGCCTTCATAACGCCCGAAAACCCCACCATGGCGCGGAAACCGCCTCCTGACCCGGCTATGGCTATCACTGGCACCTGTAAAATACACACACAGACACACACAGACACACACACACACACACACACACACACAGTAACAGTCATAAAAGGAAGGAGACAGGGCCATGCTTACTCACACCTTTGTTACAGAATAAATGACAGCGGCTATGAGTCTCAACTTCATTCTTTCATCTTGAGTAATTTCCTTTTGCCATCTCTATGGGCAGCAGCTTGCTGATTGCATCATGGCTTTGCAGCGTTTTCTGACTGGTAGATTTGCAGCTTTTCAAAAATGCAATTGTGCAACATTGCTTCTTTTTCCAGTCTGCATGGTCATTTCTGAATTACAAAGTCACTGTGGAGGAATTGTTGTGGCACGGTGGAAGGCATGGAACTGGATATCTCATTCCTCTGGAGCTTCCGTCACATGTTAGAAACATGAACAGACGTGGGCCTAAGGCATCGAGCCAAAACCACACCACTGGGAAAGCTAGTGCAGCTCAGAGTACTGGAGCTGTATGAGGCTTGTCTTTTACTTCCTGGTGTGAGAATTGTTGAGGTGTTATTTTAAATTTGAGAATGCAGAGTGTCAAAAGCTGCACCACGGTCATGAATTTAGAAAGCCAGCAGATCTGAAAGTCAGCACCAAGCACGAATACCCTCCCTAAAGTCAGCACACTCACCACGCTTTGTGCTATTTGGTACTAATGAAACCGACCTCAAGGGAGGTAACAATTGCACAATGAGTCCAGATTTCACATCCATCATTCCTATCAGCCAAAAATATACAATTGGAAATAGAATAGAATAGAATAGAATAGAATAGAATAGAATAGAATAGAATAGAATAGAATAATTCTTTAACTGTCCCACAAGGGGAAATTTGGTTGTGTCAGCAGAAAAAACACACACATATAAACAGAACAGGACACAGAACAGAAACACATTTTTTACATATTTACATAATGGATAATAGTTACCAAAGCAGAGTACTGTACAGTTATTAAAATTAGAGTACAGATAAGTGGCAAACCCAGGTTGTAGTGTGCAAACAGAGCAGGATACTGAAAGATGTTTAAATAGTTAAGAATATTTAGAATAACTGGAAATGTGCAGATTGTGCGTTGTACCTGTCTGTGCATTAAAAAGTAGACATGTAACTTCCAATAAGTTAGTGTATATATGAACTGAGAAAAGTAATGTGCAAGTTATGCCAGTAGAACTTGTTACAGCACTGATGTAAACATCTATGTTTGTTGGGAGCAGTTTTGATTGTACAGTCTGACGGCTGCAGGGAGAAAATGTCATCTTACAGCAGAACACTGTAGAGTAGGGCTGTGCGATATGACCAAAATCTCATATCCCGATATAAGAATTCTATCGTCCCGGTAACGATATAAATCACAAAAGTGTAACATTTTCTGTAAGTTCTGTGAATCTCGGGCAGCTCGACTTGTGTGAAGTGTTTCCAGCTGCGCGTCATGTAGCTGGAGTCGAGTGTTTTAGCCGATGCATGAAACTATACATTTTTAGATATAAGTTGTAACGCCGCCATTTTCTTTGTGAGTGTTTATTACACGGCGTGCTGCGGGGAAAAGCCTGTTCTAACGTCTAAGGTCTGTTTTTTAGCACCTGGCGGCTCTTTTTTACTTCTCATCCGTAAATAATCTGCTCTTTCACGTGATTCAATTTATTTTGAAAAGTCTCAACAGGATCTTGAGCTTTATTGTGAAAGGTTTATGTGGAACATAAACAAGCGGACACGCGATGGTTTTACCGTCGTTGTTGCTAACGACAACGCATAAAAACAGTCGCTTGTTCGTCTGTAGTGTGGTTATATTAAATATAAGAGAAAGAGAGAACTTTAAGAAATTAATATAACCACTACAGTGACCATCAGAACCATGAACAAATATTGCCGTAAACAGTTTATTTTGCGACACCACGAAACAAACGATAGCGTAAAATGAAACATAGACGTTTTTATATCGTCATCGATATATATCGTTATATCGAACAGCCCTACTGTAGAGATCCCTTGAACGGCAGTTCTCTGAGCCAAAATGACTGGTCGGATTGCTTTGAGTTGATGGGAAGCCAACAGTAACTCAATAACCAGTCGTTACAACCAGTATGCGCAGAAGAGCATCTGCGTATAGACAACACGTGAAATCTTGAAGCAGATGGGGTACAACAGCAGAAGACCACACTGAGTGCCACTTCTGTCAGATAAGAACCGAAAACTGAAGCTACAATTCAAATGGGATTATCAAAATTGTGGGGTGCCCCAGGGCTCAATCCTTGGCCCTCTTCTTTCTCCATTATACCTGCTCCCTTTGGGGTCTATTTTTAGAAAACACGAAATATCCTTTCACTGCTACGCAGACAACTGCCAAATTGATTTGCCTTTAGCACCAAATGGCCCAGGCTCCATCCAAATCCTTTTGAACTGCCTCGAAGATGTCAAAGCTTGGATGGCTCTGAACTTTTTGAGTTTCAATGAGAGTAAAACGGAGGTGATTGTATTTAGACCTAATAATATTTCATGCAACCCGCTTGTAAATTGTGGTTGGCTAGGGTCTTATATCAAGCAGCATGTGACAAACTTGGGAGTCATTATGGACTCAGATTTTAAATTGGACAAACATATTAGTTCAGTGTTGCAAAAAAGCTTTTTCCAGCTGAGGCAAATAGCAAAGCTGAAGCCAGTTTTGTCAAGACGTGACATGGAGAAGGTAATACATGCCTGTATTTCAACTCGGCTTGACTACTGTAATGCACTTTATGTTGGAGTCAGCCAAGGGTCTCTTGCTCGCCTTCAGCTCGTTCAAAATGCTGCTGCCCGCCTCTTGACTGGTGCCCACAGGCATGAACATGTAACACCTGTTCTGTCTTCTCTTCATTGGCTTCCTGTTCATGACAGAATTAATTTCAAAGTCCTAACACTGGTTTATAAATGCCTTAATGGTCTTGCTCCCCCATATCTTTCCGAGTTACTTCAGCTTTATATTCCTTCACGGACCCTCAGATCAGCTGACCAGCTGCTGTTGGTTGTCCCAAAATCAAGGCTCAAACATAGAGGAGAACGAGCATTTTCAATTATTCGTTTTTAAATGTGCTATATAAAAGAATTAGATTTGGATTTGGTGGTGTCAGGATGTGGGGGATATTTTCTTGGCACACCAGAGCATACCACAGTATTGACTCTGACCACATCCGCCCCTTTATGACTACGTTGTATCCATCTTCGGATGGCTGCTTCTAGCAAGATAACGCTCCCACATTTGAAACTGGTTTCTTGAACATAACAGGAAGTTCACTGCACCCAATGGCCTCCAAAGTCACCAGATGTCAGTCCAGTAGATCACCTGTCTTGTGTCAACAGTTCAGGTTGCTGGTGGTGTTGTATGATGTGGGTAGAATTTTCATGACACACTTTGGCCCCTTAACACCAAGAGAGCATCATTTAAATGCCACAGCCTATCTGAGCATCGTAACCAACCATGTCCCCCCCTTTATTAGCACAGTGCAGCAAAGGGGTGTTCACTACACCCAAATAGCTTCCACAGTCAACAGGTGTCAATCCAATAGAGCATGTTTGGATGCTGGTGGTGTGGAAGATAGATGCGCAGCCAACAGCAGCAACTGTGTTATTCTGTCATGTCCATATGGACCAAATGGACCAGCACTTTGTTGAACCTCTGAGAGCAAACGGGTGTCGAACCCAGAGTATATATAATGTTATGTTTTGAGCTTGCCCCTCCCCATAAGACACTCAGTATAGCAATGTCTTTATGCAGCTCGATCATCCAGGTAAGTAAATCCCAAAAGGTTGATTCTGTTCATCTGGACGTAGCGTTTTCAGTGGGAGAAACGTTTTGTCATCCAAGTGTCTCAGAAGCGAAAACGCTTGTGATCCTGTATGTGACAGGAGTATCGAAACATTTGAGACACATTTCTAAACACTGTGTCTCTGTGGCTTTTAAACCGCAAAACACACTGCACCAAAAATTGGTCCACCCCAAGGATTGGTTCCCCTGACACAAACAGAGTAATGCAGTGTACGCTGTTAAGTACCAGGCATGATTTATACATCGAGGAAACCAAGGAGGCCATTTAGGTGAAAAGGGAAAGACCATCTCTGAATCGAGGAGGGGGGCCTAAGGGTACATTTCACCATTGTACAGTGCTGTGATTGCAGCCATTTCTCAACTCTCTGTGAATGGTACTCAAGGCCATTGATCAGTGGTTGTTGATCAATGGTGATGACAATTTGCATATTAATGATCAAGAAATTGACCTCCCAGCCCAGTGTTCATTCAGTGGGTGGTTTCAGTCATTATGCAAATGTACTGTTTATAAGGTTGAGGAAACCTGCAGTCAGCTGAGACTGAAGAAGTCACCTGGATGAGTAACCAAACATTTCTCCCACTGAAAACGTCCAGATGAACAGAATCACCTTTTGGGACTCAGTATAGCGTGTACACAGTGCTGAAAGTAAACCAGAGCATTCAGACTGACACTGAGACTGTGGTGGGTGCAGATTCTGAAGCATCATTAAGCTCCAAACAATTCGCTGCCATAATGAAAAATATGATCAAAGTATCTATATAACAGCTTCACTTCATTCCAAAAGGCTTTTTTGCACACAAATGATCAAGACTAAACATCAGGTTATTCCACAGTTCAGCACCGACACTGTTTTACTTTTAGCAAAGTTTGCATGTAAAATGTGTGTTAAAAGGACTTTGATCCACACCTCTTCTGGGTGACAAGGATCCTCAGTGCGTAGCAGCTTCTTGATGCCGAGCATCACCTTTTCTCGACGGGCTTCTCTAAATTGCTTCTCCTTGTCACAAAGGGTGTGGCTGAACCGCAGGTCCAGGTTTGTACTGCAGATAAAAGCAACAAGAGGGAAGATCACCAAAGCAGTCCCAGGGAAGCAGCACCGGAAACACGTGTTTCACAGTTTGTATTTAGAGGCCGAGATAGGCTGTGATCTCTTAATAACACTACTGATAATGCTGAAACTGATGGTGATGTGATTTGGGGGATATCTGATGGAGAACACAACCACAAATAGTCATGGCCTCAAGGAATTCATTACACACTCTTTTTTCACTGAATTTCCTCTCAAACATTCAATTTTTTCTTTGAAATCCTCCCACAATTGTGCGATCAAAATTCTCATTAATCTTATTGTTAGAATGACTCAGCTCACATTTGCTGAATCGTGCTGCACCTACTTTCTAGTTTTAACCTATGGTATGCTTCAGGGGAGTTTCTGCAGTTTCAAACCTGCAATAATTCTGAAGAGCTCAGTTTGATTTTAGGTTAAACAGTAAATGTTGCTGTGAAACAAAATAAAACTATTTGATTTTGAAGGTATTACATACCAGATCTCCAGTGACATCTCTAAGTGCACTTTGGTTGCCTGTCAAAATAATTAAATATGTGGTTATTATACATTATTTAATTGTGGTTGAGGGCAAGAAATAAACACAGAAACACAACTGATCCCTTTAAAGTCTCTTGGAAATACATATTGTACTTTTCTATTGTGATTTGTAACAAAAAAACCTTACAAGGTTACTTTGCTGATACTTTGTAGCCTCCATACTCGTTTAATGCGAAATCTGCCTCTGTGGCCATACACTGACACTTCTTTTAGGACATTAACAAAATATCAAATTAAAATATTAGGTCCTTATCTTCTTCCAGCAGCTTTTTTTCAGGGCTGATATGCTCTTCAAGGCAGTCTTTCTGTGGATCTCTGGACCACTTCCAACACTCACGCTGCTTGTAAATTACTCTATGGAAATTTAGCTATGTCTATATTCATGTGAAGAACATAGAGTTCAAAGTTGACCCGTAAGCGAACGTGAAGTCCTGCATCAAACTTTTTGTTTTCAAGCAGTTTAAGCTCAAAGAATCCAACTTTTTCGAGGTGCACAGAAGACACTTGTCTTTAGCTGTGCGCACAATTAAATTAGATTAGTGTAACAATGAAAGCTTTTAGCGCAAACTTCTGAGGCATGAGGAGCAGAAAATTGAGCCAGACTATGTTTTTTGCTCTACTTGCCACTTCATCCACTTCCATGTGGTCAGAACAAGACTTCTATAAAGTAATGTAGACATAGCAGCCGTGCTGAAAAAGATCTAGAGGCGCACAAGAAGATGCCCCTAATTCAGATTGGGTTTTTTATGTTTTTAGACGAACCTCTTACATGATTGCTTATAACATCATGACGATAAATAATGAAAGTCGGACAAATTAACTTTCTTACTTTGCCAATGAGGAACACCTCCGTCTTTGTCTGGCCCACATTGAGTTTGGAGATTTCAAAGGATGCTGTCCCAAGCGTCTCATCCATCACGTAGTTGGCATCCATTAATGTTAACTGTTGGGCATAAACAACAGCAGTTTATACTCAAATAGAAATTGTGGCCGGTGTTCACGTCTTCCAACTGGCTAGTTTTGTCGATTAGTTAAACTGATTATGACTTAGACGTTATATGCCGATTGCCTTCACAAACATGGAAGGACCTCACCGACTTCGAGCGTAGTGCTGTAACAGCGTCGGACCAAATTGTGCCAACTGTAAACGGTGTTATTAGAAAGTAGAAACATTTAGAAACTATGGAAACTCAGCCTTGATGTGGCAGACCGCATAAAGTCACCGACCTTAGCAGTCGACTTTAAAAGTCACCTCATGACATGATTTTCCATTAGTCATGGATGTAAATATGTAGGCAGCTTGAGTAGCTTACCCCAAACTAACACTTGAGTCAGTCAAAGGCTAGATTTTAGGATAACATTAACATATCACCTCATGGCGAGCTACAAGTGTTAGGCTGTGTTTATGTGGGATTGCGCTCCATGACATCACTTCTTGTCATCCTGTGCTGCGCTCTGTTACAGTAAATGCAGGTCTAACCTCCAGAACGTTGTGCTGGTTGGGGTCTAATATGAAATGAAAGGTCTCGTTCCATTTTGGATTGATGTCGTTGTCTATGTGCTTGGTCCTCCTTCTGCTTTCAGGAGCCGTCGGGATGAAAATCTCCACATACGGGTCTGGAGTGTCCACTGGGCGCACAAACAAGTTCCACAGGGTTACTACACAGCCGAAAACCAACCTCAAAATAACCATCATCAAGTGCTTTTGTATTTCTTTTGCTGTAAATGTACATGGATTAGATTCCAACGATATGAAGGAAAGCATGGTAATATGTGACTGTAAGGCAAAAATGATATGAGCACTTACGCAGGTCGCCCAGCGCTCCCTTGGTGACGTTCTGAGCTCGAACTACAGTCACTGTGAATTTGTGAGAAAACTGCTGCTCCACCTGCAATTTGGACATTCAGAGTTCAGTCTCACTTCATTGCTTCATGAGAAAAAAATCACATCAGCCATGCTGAGAATGAAAAATGAACACATCCAGATGACACAGCCAACAGTTGGCTGCACTGCAGCATGACGTACACTGGTTCAGTGAAGTCTGGCGTGCCCCAAGTGAGAGCATCATTGAGAACATCTGGATTTTTTGGAACTCTCTAGTTAAGGATGCACTTCCCAGCTGTGTTCACACTGTGCTACGACAGCTTTCTCCTTATATTTTGACAGTACTGCAAAATTTGTAGCCCTTTCCCAAATACTGTGACTCTAATAAATACTGATGAGCATTTAATGGGCCCGTACTGTAAACCATTTATATATTTTACAGCAACCCTTTCACCTCAGTTTCCCTTTTGCTACATTGTCGTATCCCTGAAAGTTTGGTCGCGCACTGTTAAAGAAAGTTAAAGTATTGGATTCTGTTCAATACGACTACTTGAAGGTCCCAACAGTGTTCTTTGTCATTTCTAGATATCAGATATCTCCAATCTCACAGAATAGATTTTGTTTTGAATTTCTGTGTGTTGCAGTGCAGTTTGATATTGTGACTATTTAAGATTTCCTGTTTCTGGCAGCCTTTTACACACTTTAAAATTATTTTTAAAAACCCAAAAAGACAAATAGTTTTCAACGACATTTGCAAATCTCTAAAACAGGAAGTGCTGTGAGACTTTTTTGCGGCTTTAAAATAGCTCCCCTCTCACCCCTTCTTGTTGAAAGGGCTGCTTGTTCAGTTTTTCCTCTACAACACTGTGAGCTTAATTATTTTATGATTATGGTGCTAAATAAATGAAATTTACCTGGAATTACGTGATAAAAACTCAGACGTCACACTGATCAAATATTATGCATATTTTTCCTTTAAACCAACCCTTTCAAACTTGTCTTCCACCAAAATGGAAATGAAAATGGCCTTGACGTTGACACGCTCATTGTTATACTTACACCCAAGGCTGTGGCTTGCGATAAGAGGGAAATTTTTTAATACCAGTGAACTAAGAACTTCCACAGAATTATTTGTGTCACAGTTGATGCCAAAGGAATCTGTCCACTTTTGTTTTGGCCTCACTCTTATTTACAGTTATGTAAACACGCACTGTGTCGACACTCACAATTATATTGGAAGCCATTGTCATATGAGGTGAGCAACTCGCAGGAAAGCCTTCGTCAAGATGTGAACTTTAGGTCAAGGGAACATATCTGTCACAAACTGCAGCACAGACAGCCTGAAATATGAAACAAAGAAGTGCAAACAAAGGGTTAGAGTTTGAACAGGCGGAAAAAAACATCATATTTAAACTGTGATGCAAACGACAACAAAATACTGGCATAATTACAGCTTTACTTTTAGCCAGAGATGCAGCAAATGGACATATTATATGGCGTTATTTTTGTGCCACTATTCTGAGCACACGTACAAAGTTTGCAGGTGCAAGTGTTGCATTTTGAGGAGAACAGGGCTGATTGGAGACCAAAACAGCCAATCAGATTTTTTTGCATCCAAGTCTGTGATTGGCTGGTTTTGTGGCACAAATATAACGGTGTACAGAAAGAGTTGAGCGCGCACGGGCAGAAATGTTGAGAGCGCGAGCAACACATTGCGAGCGAGCGCAAATGCAAAAACTGAGCGAGAGGGGCTGCTGTTGTGTGTGTGTGTGTGTGTGTGTGTGTGTGTGTGTGTGTGTGTGTGTCTGTGTGTGTGTGTGTGTGTGTGTGTGTGTGTGTGTGTGTGTGTGGATAATAGCACTGAAATACATTTTTTGCACGCAGCAATGAATTTTGTTCACTCAAATTCAGCTTTTCTTCGCTCAAAATAAATTTCTCCTCAAAATGCAACACTTGCACCTGCAAACTTTTTACGTGCGCTCAGAATAGTGGCACAAAAATAACTCCATAATATGACAGTATCTCTTAAAAGGGTGCCTTTCCTAAACAAAACACATTTTTTTTATAGTGCACTGGAATTTTTTAAAAACAAGTAGCTTCGCAAATACCAGTGAAGTCTTTTACATCTTGGCAGGGGTAAAGGGAAGTGTGCTGAGCTACAAAACCCCGATAAGAGGACTGGAAATGGGGTGTGTGTGTGTGTGTGTGTGTGTGTGTGTGTGTGTGTGTGTGTGTGTGTGTGTGTGTGTGTGTGTGTGTGTGTTCACCACAAGCGTATGTTAAGAGAACGAGAAAATATGACGGTAAAGGGAGGAGGGTCTTCCCTGAATAAATGCGGTTCGTTCAACATGCTGGACGACAAAATGTAAAGCTTAGTGCGCATTTGCAGAATAGGTGGCACGGTGGCTATTTTTAGCAACCCGAACTCTTTCTCTGTGATGTCTGAAAACCATATCTTGATAAGAAATTTGCATAGATATGTGCATGTCTATGTGTGCGAGTGTACAACTGATAGCATATGAAGGTCACCAGCCTTTTCTCTGCTGCTCACCAAAGTGTGTAATTACTGAGAGGACTGAGAGCACGTAGAGCGTCTGTGTGTTCACAGAAGCGGTCACGTACTTTGCATCAGTGGTCCAACTTCTGACGGTGCCAGTTCACGCTGCCCTTGTTCCGCTGCTGCATACAATAGGCGCATGCAGAGCTCTGCAAGTGTGCCAGCTTCAGCAAAGCGCCGCGTGGCAGCACATTTTCATATGAGGATGCAGAACGTAAGAGAGACTTGCAGCAACGGACTATAATGCAAAACAGCTGCCGCAACTGTGGCTTTCAGCGGAGCACAGTCAGGATCCTCCTGAGGGAGTGTGCTCACCTGAGCCACACAAGGAGCAGGTCGAAGACTCACTTCAGTGAATCACTGTGCGTGTCTCCAGAGAAAGATTACGTCGAGGAGTCACTGCAATTGAATTCTTATAAGGCTTAGAGGCTTCACGCAAAACTTATCATTAGGCACTGCTAAGAGGCTTTACATTATTCTTATTAGCCCGGCAGATTAAGGGCAGATCAAACAAGGATCGATGATGTTATGAGTGCGCTACATGCGATGCTGAGTAATGTTAGTCCTACTAAGGCAGTAAAGATGTGGTGGATACTATGAATTTGCACTTATATAAACATGACACATGATATAAAATATCTATGAAGGTAGTTCATAATAAACATAATAATAATCATTATTAAGTTCAGTTTTATTCAGTTTTACTTGTGTATCCCTGCAGTGATCGGTCCTATTTAAACTGGCCTGTGAGTTTCCTTGTCTTCGGCGTTGCGTAAAAAGTAAGCCTTTGCTGTTTAACCCATTCGGAGCAAAGGCTCAGACCTCCTCCTTTAAACTGCGCCCACACCCGTTTGTTAAAACACAACAATGTGTCTAAAAAAGGAAAGGAAATATCCACGTACCTCAGCAGGCGCATGCTATCAGCTCACAGTAAATGTCTCATACTGTAACGCCAAAAGCTCAGGAGGTGGAGAGGAGGTGCTACCGTACCCGGCAGTGAGCACTGTCGTAGCTTGTTACGTTCGCGTCGAGAGAGAAAAAAACTACCGGAAGACAATAAAAATACAGCGGGGTTCAAATGGCCGCTGGTTTTAAAGAGTGATGGTCAGGATTCTTTTAATAGGAAATTTCCGAGTAGCAGTCAGACTGTCTGTGACTCAGATTTTGAGACTTGAGCTAGAGCTCTCCAAATGTGCACGATGAGCAACCGCAAGGTGGCATCTGTGGCTGAAGCTCAAGAAAGTTTGTGAAAGAGACCAACTTCATTTTTTCTGTCTTTTACATTTTTCCGAAGATGTGCTTTGAGCCATGTGACTATTTACTGATTTAGGTGATGATTCATTTAATTCAGTGAAATTCAATTCAAGGAAAAAAGAGTTTTATATGTTCACTTTAAAAAAAAAAGTACAAGTTTGTGAATCTCTCTGGAGATGATTCACAAACTTGTAATTTTTTATCAATCAAAGAGTACTCGAGTATTTGTACTTATCATTTCTCCATGTTTGTTCATAGGATTTATAGAGGCTATAGATATTAAATCCCCCCTGTCGTGGTAATACGTTGTGTAAACCAGTAAATATTATTAGACATTAATTAAAATCACAGCTTCCGGTTTTTATGGGGACAAAAAACAAACAAAAACGCATACAATTAGTTAATTTAAGGCTGTAGCACTGAAGGAGTGAGAATAGAAAATAAATATTCTGTGGATAAGAAAGCTTGTTTCTCCCAAAAATGATTTCTGGCAGAAAGAAAGAAGGAAAAAGATTGTCTACTTGTTACTTGTTGTCCTATAATCTGTGAAACTTAACTCATGAAAGATATAAAGTTATTTTGACAAAAAGAATGTTTTCTGCAATCACTTTTTAGCAAAGTGGTTTTTATATGTCCGTGTTTGATCCGGCTAAACAGTCTCATTGACATTAAAAATGTTTTTTAAAGAGTGATGTGGCCAAGGGTGCATCAGAAATTACAACGCGTGTAACATATTGGTTTTATAAAGATATTTTAAGTGGCCAAAAAGGACTGAAACGATCATAATGTAGGTAGAGTTACCCAGAGTCATAAAGACACTCGCAAAGCAGGTGATTCATAAACTCTGCTCACTAAAATCCCTCTTTGTCACAGGGTGGATGGGAGTAGTGAGGGTGATAGGAGGGGAAGGAGGAAGCACCGCCCCCAGCTTTTATTTAAAGCTGAATCGCGCTGTGGACGTTCTTAATTTTAGCGTCGTCGTCGTGCGCGAGAGGGAGTTGCAGACATGAAACAAACGTGGATCTCACAAAGTCTCCGGAACATGAGCAAACTCACCTTGCCGCTTTTCCTGTTGGCCCTGTGCTTTCTCGCCGGTGAAACTGGTAAGCTGCGGAAACTGGAGATTATTTCTTACAGTTTTTCCATTTTATTTTATTGCTACAGCCCAAATCACAGCAGCAGTTTAGAAGTCGTGATTTCTTTCTATTATTATTATGATGATGATGCCTAATAAGATGTCTTCTTGAGAACTGATTATTTTTTATTAAACAGACAGTAAGTGTCCAACCGTATCTGTTACAGTTAACCCATGTTGCTCAGAGCCATGCCAGAACAGGGGCGTCTGCACACCACTGGCCTCAGAAAAATACGAGTGTGACTGCACACGCACGGGGTACTATGGGCAAAACTGCACAACACGTAAGTGTGAACATCGCGCTTGGAGTGAAACAAGGTGCATCTCTGGTGGTGACTTGATGGCTTGATTCACGTGCTCTCTTGGTCTCTTACAGCTGAGTTCTTCACCTGGATCAAAGTGTCTCTGAAGCCAACACCCAACACAGTCCACTACATCCTGACCCACTTCAAGGGTTTCTGGAACATCGTCAACAGCATCTCATTCCTCAGGGATGCCATCATGAGATATGTGCTGACATGTAAGTCTCTCTCTGCTCGAAGGCAAAAATGAAAAAGTGGATTGGAAAGTTTTTCACAGTACATTAAACAGTTTGCGCAGGAACTTGTTGTAGTGTTTATACTACATGAAGGACTAATATGGGTTTTCCTTTCTCTAGCCCGATCCCACATGATTGACAGTCCTCCAACTTATAATGCTGATTACGGCTATAAGAGCTGGGAAGCCTACTCCAACCTTTCCTACTATACGCGCTCCCTCCCCCCTGTGCCGCAGGATTGCCCAACGCCTATGGGAGTAGTAGGTGAGTACACTTTCTACCTTTGGAGAACCAGTTTTCTTAGATTCTTAAGATACAAAACCGTCTTTGTCGAATTACATCATAGGAAGCGCGCACATTGGAATTAGCTTTCCTCTTAGATCAATTATAAAGTGTCTGAGGCAACATGGAAAAACCTCCCCCTACAAGCCCAAACCAAAGAGATCAAGTTATCAGAAATATGAAACCGACCCAAAGAGCTGTGATTTTCCTATCATACTGTTATGTGCTCATTGAAGTCTTCTTATTCTTCCAGGCAAAAAGGAGCTACCTGATGTTAAAGTGCTGGCTGAGAAGCTCTTAATGAGGAGACAGTTTATACCAGACCCGCAGGGCACCAGTTTGATGTTTGCCTTCTTCGCACAGCACTTCACCCACCAGTTCTTCAAATCTGACATGAAGAGAGGGCCTGCTTTCACTGTTGCTAAGGGTCATGGGGTAAGTGGAGCTGAAGATCCCGGTTTTTGAAAAGCAAACTCATTTTAATGTGACCCAGTTTTAATTGGCGTGTCTTGTGCTGTCAGGTGGACCTCAACCACATCTACGGTGACAACCTGGAAAAGCAGCACAAGCTGAGACTCTTCAAGGATGGCAAGCTGAAATATCAGGTATGGGGGGGAAGGTAGCTGTACTCGAGGCAGCCAAAGAGACCAGCTCATGTGCGTTTGTCACAGCAGTTTCCTCTTTTGCGTAACTCCGCAGATGCTCGATGGAGAGATGTACCCCCCTACAGTTAAGGAAGTGGGTGTCACGATGCATTACCCCCCTCACGTCCCAGATTCTCACCGCTTCGCTGTCGGCCACGAGGCATTTGGCCTGGTCCCTGGTCTGATGATGTACGCCACCATCTGGCTCCGCGAACACAACCGTGTGTGCGATGTGCTGAAAGAGGTCCACCCATACTGGGATGACGAAAGACTCTTCCAGACCGCACGGCTCATCCTAATCGGTAAGACAAAAGAAGTCCAGATACCAGCTGTAACGTAGTTGGGATTTTTTATTAAAAAGCTAATAATCATATTGTTAGCAGGACTTCTTATTCACCTCCCAATGATGTTGCGCACAGTGGAGCATTTCATTTCAGGAACCTGATTTACTGAAAGACTTGAGAATTTCTTGTAAACATCAGAAAGAGGAAATGTGTTTTACTCTCAGGACTCCACTTTGTGCTTACCCACACTACAGACATGCAAATGAAGCATCAATAAGCACGATTTATTCTAAAGCAGAGAGTGCCTTTTAGCATCTAGAGTGTCTTCATTATATAAACCGTCACATTTCTCATCTGGCAGGTGAGACCATCAAAATCGTGATTGAGGACTACGTGCAGCATCTGAGCGGCTATCACTTCAAACTCAAGTTTGACCCCGAGCTGCTCTTTAACCAGCGCTTCCAGTACCAGAACCGCATTGCATCTGAGTTCAACACCCTTTACCACTGGCACCCTCTGATGCCCGATAGTTTCCACATTGAGGAGACAGATTACAGCTACAAGCAGTTTGTCTTCAACACCTCTGTCGTGACCGAGCACGGCATCAGCAACCTGGTGGAGTCCTTCACCAATCAGATTGCCGGACGGGTACGAACTCTTTAAGCTCCGCAGCAGCAGTTAGACTGAAACATACAAGACCAGTGTTGCTCTAAGGATGCAGAATTGAAATTTCTTTTTTTTGTAATTTAGGTTGCTGGTGGTCGAAATGTCCCCGGACCCATCTTGTATGTGGCCATTAAATCCATAGAGAACAGCAGACAAATGCGTTACCAGTCCCTCAACGCCTACAGGAAACGATTCTCCATGAAGCCCTACATGTCTTTCGAAGACCTGACAGGTGAGACAGATTCAGCACTTCTTGAAAATACCTGTATGCTGAAAATGTGACAAAAACAGGTTCTTGTAATTGCTGTCTCAGGCCCAGCTATTGATAGATTAATATCTTTGCAATGCGCTGATTCTTATTTTCACAAAGTGTGACTGAAAAACCTGCAGGCTGCACAATCCGGTTTATGCAATAGTTTACCTGATATTGAGGACATGCCTCAGAGTCCCTAAGCAGCTGCTGGCAGTTTTGAAAGTTAGGTATTTATTTCCATGACTCTGAGAACCAGATGGCCATTTCATCTTAAGGTAGAGTAAGCAGACTGTCATGACTGCAGGCGAGATATAAACAGACACGGGGAGTCCCTCTACTTTAAAGAGGAAGATTTAAACTTTTCAAGAGCTTTAATGTCGATTAAAAACTAACTTTGACTTGCTGTATAAGTGAAGGCAAAAATGGCGTGCATGCTAGGGGAAAGATAAAAATCAGGAAGTAAAGACATATGAAATCTGTCAAATCGCAGTGACCGAGCCAGTGGGAAGGACGCCAGATTGTGTTACTGACCAAAACCATTTCCTTGTTTGTGTTATTCAGGGGAGAAAGAAATGGCTGCGGTGCTGGAGGAGCTGTACGGGCACGTCGATGCTGTGGAGCTCTACCCGGGCCTGCTGGTGGAGAAGCCCAGACATAACGGCATCTTTGGGGAAACAATGGTGGAGATGGGGGCTCCTTTCTCCCTCAAGGGCCTAATGGGAAATCCCATCTGCTCCCCGGAGTACTGGAAGCCCAGCACCTTCGGAGGCACAGTCGGCTTCGACGTGGTCAACACCGCCTCGCTCCAGAAGCTGGTGTGCAGTAACGTGCGGGGTCCCTGCCCCGTGGCGTCCTTTCATGTGCCCGATGTTAAAGAGACCGGGTCCATGATCATCAACTCAAGCACGTCGCAGTCGCAGGGCAGCGACATCAACCCCACCATTATTTTGAAAGAAAGGACTACTGAGCTCTAATTTTATTTAAGAGTGTTGTTGTTGTTGTTGTTGTTGTTGTTGTTTTTAAAAAAAAACACAAGAAAGTTTTATTTATTTATTTATTGGTATATTTATTTTATATATTTATACTGTAAAATAAAACCAGAACAAGTGGAACAAATTTTTATATTTGTGATTGAAATTAGAGTAAGTAATTTGTATTTATTTTGTACACTGTCTTCTTATACTGATAACCTCAGGCACTGCAACTTAATACTTGAAGGTCAGTTTACAGTTTCATTAAAACAGTAATTTACTGTTAAATGTTTCCCTGGATTACCTGTTTCCTCTCCATTTATGTTCCCATAGTTGTATCCCAGTAATAAACAGTGATGAGAGTTTTAAACGGCAGTGCTCTGGTGCAGACTGATTGTGACTATCTGCAGTTCACATTGTTTTAGTGATTTCATTTTGACCAGTTTTCGTATTAGTCAGAATAATATGAAATGACAAGTGTATGTTGAATCCGCACTGTTTTTTTTTTGTTTTGTTTTGTTTGTTTAGTTTTTTTTGTTTTTTGTTTTTATTTTTTTATTTGTATTTTCAAGGAACAAACAAATATTCTGATTGTACATGCTTAAAATAGTGTGTGCCTACGGTCTTCAGAGTATTAAACTGAATAAATGATGAAAGTCATACTTCAGAAATCAACTGTCCGTGTTGCTGTTTTCATGACGTCACTTTGTGTTCTTGTATAAACTCTGAACTGGCTGTGACAGCAGGATAAGACACTGTTATCTGAACATAGAGCGCACACATATCAGTTCACATGCTCCGACTGAAATGCAAATGGCTGTAACTCTGAGAAGTTGTTTCTTTCTACACACTCAGCGGCCGCTTTTTCTAAGTAGGCTTTGCTAGGGCTGGGTTGGACCTTCCTTCCTTCCTACAAGATGCAAAACTAACAAATGTGTTCAAATGGCTGGAGACCTATTGACATTTAAATGATGTTCTGTTGGTGTTAACGGGGCCAAAGTGTGTCAAGAAAACATCCCCCACATCATTGCGCTGCCACCATTAGTCCGAACTGTTGATAGAGGACAGGTTCTCTGCTGGACTGAGACCGGATGACTGATAAATCACACAAATATATAAACAAAGAACAAAACTCTGAGATAATGAACTCACAAAAACAACCAAGAAGCAGAGACCACAGCGTAATGTAATTACTGAAACTGTCCATTATAATAATCATTACAATGTAAGAAACTGATTTACAGGATACATTCCTGTAAATCAGCTGGACTCAGAGGTAAAAAGATCCCCGTCTGTGAATAAACTAGAAAGGATAAAGTTTAGGTATATAACGTCTCAGTCTAATTAGCAAACCAAATCTCACATCAAGCCTTTTCTATACAATTTCATTTAATTTATACAGCACGAAATCACATAATAGTCTCCTCAAGGTGCTTTATATTGTAAGGTAGACCCTACAATAATATGAGGCCCTATGAGCAAGCACTTTGGCGACAGTGGGAAGGAAAAACTCCCTTTTAACAGGAAGAAACCTCCGGCAGAACCAGGCTCAGGGAGGGGCGGGGCCATCTGCTACCAGTTGGGGTGTTCTTTGAACAAAGAGAGCGAGAGCGTGACCTTGAGTTAAGTATCAACTTCACATTCAAACTTGACAGCAGCGGTCCCATTCTCTCGCTGTGTGTGTAAACACTCTTATCTGCAGGTCTGAAAGCGCAACGTAGCAACAGTTTACATTTCACATACTACTGATGTCATAAAGTCTGAGATTCAATCAAGATTGCCTGCGCGACTGCTATTCTCTCGAGTGCACTTTGTAGCTGAAGAGTTTTCACTTTTGTAGAATAAAACAAGTCTATACTTGTTAAGCTTAAAGAAGTTTGCGTGCCATGAGGGAGCCTGGCAAGATCTCGTGCTTCGTGTGAGATCGCTTTAGAACGTAAACGATCCGTTTTGCTTTAAAAGAATACAGTTTCACCAGTGCATGTAAGGGTGTCTTTGGGTAACACAAATCTTTTCCAGGTGACAGTTTCTATGTGCTGTCTCAGTTTTTGTATTATTTTAAGCTAGAACTCCACAGACTGCATGACTAGTAGTAAAAAGAAAGTGAGGAGATGACTGTATGCTGAGGCATTATGCATATCCCTAAAACTTTCCAATGGTTGTTACACACATGCCAGGAGAAAAAAAGTAGTTTTACTGTATGTGGTGCGTGGACTAGCACTCAGTTCAAAAGTATACAGTAAACCTAGCCACAGTCGTACAGACTGGCAGTATTACAGTGGAACAAAAGGGTTTTTTTAGGTTATCCAGTCCAAAACAAACATAGTGGAAGGAATGTTGACGTGACTGGCAGCATGGAGCGGTGAGTCAGACCGCCAGGCAGCATCCTTTCTAAACACAGACAATGACAAGCTAAACTTTCTCATCCATTCACGTATTTCGCACAAATGACAACGAAATCACATTTGCTCTCTCCCCTCACACCGGGTGATTAAAGTTTTAAAAAACAAAAACTTCTTGTGCATCAGCTGTCACCTTAACTGAATGTCATGAGCAGTTAGTCCTCCATCGCACAGTCTTTGTCCCGCACTTCAAAGCGAGAGGCGTAGGAGTCCCCTGTCAGAGGGGCTTGGAGCATCACTGCATGAAAATGACATGATTGTGTGTGCATATTAGTTGTTTCCCCCATATTGTCAGGGGGAGTTTTATCACTCTATTGTGCAACAATGTGTGGCATGGTCAGGTCTCGATCTGCGACATCGAGCAGGGGAACGCATCTTGCTTTGTGTGAGTTTAATGAGAACGAGCGGGCCGTGGGCCCTGATTCGGGAGAAGATTAGGAGAGTGCTTTCTCTCTGACCGATTCTGGACCTCTCTGGAATCGGACCCTGCATGGAGACTGTGACCAGGACCCGAGTTACGTGATGCTCTGCAGGTGGCAGTGACTGGGGTCAAATGGGAGCTGGCGCAGGCCGCCTCGGCCCGTGAGGCACTGGCACTGAAACCAAATGACTTGACTGAAATGATTAATCCCTGATCAGATTATCTAATGGTTTATATTCTTTATCAGTCAATCCGTTTTATAGTTTTCACTGCCAACTGTTTCAACTGAGCGATAATGTGTTGTAAGAAAAAAGTGTGTTACTACAACAAAGTCTAAAACAATGTGGCAATTGTTCTTAATGACCTGAGAACGGTGTGTGAGGAAAACAAGTGAAGCAAAACTATTAATCACAGTCTACGTGACTGCAGCTGAAGCTTTGCCTAACCCGGCTCACGTGGATGCTGGTACAAGGAAGTTATTTCCTTGCATCTAATGCTGAGTCTCCACGATGACAAACACAAATCTTTTCTTGTTGTTAAGGAAGATTTGTCACTATCATTCTTTTTAAATGGCTATCTTTTCATCTGACAATGTGCACCACCTCACACTTGGATGAACAAACTGCAGTTGCAACCAGTGTTGGTCAAGTTACTTGAAAAAAGTAATCAGTAACTAATTACTGATTACTTCCCCCAAAAAGTAATCCTGTTACTTTACTGATTACTGATTTTCAAAAGTAATTAATTACTTAGTTACTTTTTAAAAACACGATTTACAACCTGAACAGGTGATAAAGCGATAGATCTTTCAGACCAATTCTACTTTTTCTGCATAATCATCATACAAAATGTAATCAAATGGAAAAGTCTCTTTTTAAAACTTGTTTTATTAGTTTTAATCTTTTTAAACTTTATGCATCAAGTAAAAATTAAATTATCTGCACCATTCTCTGACTGGAAGAAATTAGTTTAATATTTAAACCTATTTTCTGCACATTCCGGCACATAAAATAAAATATTTTTTGTGTTTACACTCAGTCTTTCAAATAGATGCAAGTAAAACACAGCAGAAAATAAATAAAGTCAAAGACTCAGCGGTCCTGTTGCTCTATTTTCACCTGTAAAGCAGGAGTGGGGTAGGCGGAGGGTTACCCTGGTGCAGGTGTGCCGCGGTCAGTGGAAGAATCCGCGAGTTTCTCTGTGAGTTTCCCATTACGTCGCAGCTACTCGGTGCTTGTTGGAAGTTTAGGGGTTTTTTCGCTGTAAAAAGAAGTTTTCTTCCCACGCACAGCGGACACTAATGTTTTTGTCACTTTTTATGGAATCAAACTCAAAGTAAGGTCAGTACTTCCACGCTTTAAACGCTGCACGCTCATACTCTCTCTGCACTCGATATATGATCCATTGTTGATCTGCACACAGCTGTTGTCACGAACGGCGCACTCGCTTACGTCACTGTCGTGAGACATTCTCGCAAAAAAATCACGGTTTTAGTAACGCAGTAACGCAGCGTTCCTACGGGAAAGTAACAGTAATCTAATTACCGTTTTTGCAATAGTAATCCCTTACGTTACTCGTTACTCGAAAAAAGTAATCAGATTACAGCAACGTGTTACTGCCCATCTCTGGTTGCGACACACTTTCGTATGAACAGACCTGTGATAGGCTGCTAACGCACGGTACCTGATCACATTCACATTGAGAATGCTTTGTTTGGTTTATTAGGATTGACCAATTGCTGCTACAATTTTGGAAAAAAAACCCCCAATAATAATAATTTAACTAGCAAAATAGATGATTGAGGAACTTAATGCGTCCAGTATGGAAAGAAGTTGATCTTTCATACTTTTTAGTTTTCCTTATTCTGGTAACACGAGCCGATACTTGGACCCTATGGAGGTTGCATGGGCAGTCCAATTCCTCAGGATGGCACATCAATAGGTGCCATTGCAGGAAGACTGTGTCTCCCAGCACAGTCTCAAGGGCATGGAGGAGATTCCAGGATATAGACAGTTACTCTAGGAGAGCGTGATGGGGCGTAGACGTTCTTTAATCCATCAGCAGGATCGGTATCTGCTCTTGCGTGCAAAAAAAGAAACAGGATGAGCACTACTGGAGTTGCAAAATAACCTCCAGTAGGCCAATGGTGTGAATGTCTCTGACCAAACAAGCAGAAACAGACTGGATGAGGGTGGCCTGCGAGCCCAGTGTC